TCGAATTCCAGTCGAATCTTTTACATTCACTTAATGGCAACTTGGGAAAGGTATGAATCCTTTTCTTCTCTCCCCCAGCTATGGGTAAATAGCAGGACAGGCCGGGTTCTATAGCCTTTGATGGCAACTGGTCTACCGCAGAAAGAAATGGCAACCTACTGCGAGAAAAAAATTGCCTCGTCAGTCATGTATCGAAAGATACATGATCTCCTAAGAATTCGCTTGAGGATGAAATGGAACTAATGTCTTTAATTTAATCACAAAATTAAATTCGTGGCTTTTAGCTTCCATTTTTGAAACATGGTTAGAACTGTGTAGCGAAAAAAAACATATTTTAAATCACTTAATTTATAATATTAATACTCTGTAAATTTACATTGAGCACTATTTTGTAAAAATAAAAATATCTATAAGAACACCGGATTATATATCTTGCTGTTCTTTCTTTTTATTTATATACATATAGATTTTTTTATTTTTTATATATATATATATATATATATATATATATATATATATATATATTATTAAAGAAAGGAAAAATTAGTTAAATGTTATTACTAGTTGGTAATCTGAGTAGACATTCCGTTTATTTTTAATTATTTACTTATTTCCGTCTACCTGCCTAAATATTCGATAAATCTTATTAAAGAAAAATATAAGCTCTAAATTTAGCAGTGGCGTCAGCGCATTTCATGCCCGAGTGGTTTAAAGCGCTTCGAGTTTAACAACTTTTTCCTCTACCCAGGTCTGTCGTAGTTTCGAATCTAAAAACTATTTATGTTTTTATTTTTCACTAGCAGCATGGCCCGGCGTTGCCCGTGCTTGATTCAAAAATCGTACGACTAATACAGCAATCGCTATCACTTGAATTAAAATATTTTTGCCCTTCCTTGCCTTTAAATGAGTGCCTTTTGCCGTGCTGATGTTACTACATGCCTTACTTCTTGCCTATCTCACACTGCGAATTTTTTCTAAGCTCTATACTAAATCTGTTACGAAAAAAGAACTAAACAAAATCAACAGAAAACCATCAGCTTTAAAAGAAAAACTCGTAACTGGAAAAACCGAATGAAAAAAGAATGTTAACAACAAATACTTTTTCACACCAACCCAGTTCTGCGGAATCAAAATCAACATTGAGTTTAAGCAAGCGAATGAGCCAATTGGAGTAAAGTGACATGGAGATCCAAATTTTTCCCACTTAAGACGAATGCAGCTATCGATTTTTTTGCATACTAGCATGCTAGTTAACATTCGTGTCTGTCAGCTGTTGGCTCTCACGCTGGCCAATAGAATCTTCCTGCCTATTCGTGGCAGCCAGCTATTGGCTCTCACTCTGGCCAGTAGAAAATGGCCGCAAACTACATGAAAACTGACGTAGAAGCATGAAAAAATCGATTATTTCCACTATCGATGGGAGTTGGGAAATGCAACGTCGGTCTTGGCCTTCCCGCTAAATTGGAGCATGTGCATGTAAATTTTGGCGCAAATTCATCGAAAATTGCAGCTGTGCATTCGTTACCGACACACACACATCCTGCCTTTTATAGATATACTTGTGTTATGCCATTTTTTTAAAAATTCGCAAGAATTTGTGAGGAGTGAACTCTCGATATTTTCTAAAAACGGCCTTAGTATTTTTGCTAGGGCTTTCGCTAATTAATGGTAGCTTCTGCCTATACCAGAGAAAATACGGTCAGGTGAAAAGTTTGTGGGCTAAGATACTCACATAGAATGTGATTAAATGATGTTTACTTTTCAACATAGTCCCTCTTGCGGTTCACACACTTCATCCATCGTTGTTGTAGTGCTTGTGCACCATTGGTGAAGAAGCTTTCACCCTGTTGCTCTAAAATTAATCAACAGCAGTTATGACGTCATCATAACAGCCTATAATGGTTCCCAGCCAAGTGTTTTTTCGTGTTTAGGAACAGATTATAGAGAAAAGCAGGAAAGCAGAGAACTTGTTTAAAACCACAGTCACGCACAATAGCCATTGAAACCAAGATCTCGTCTGCTGGAGCATTGTCCTGATGAAACAAGACCCCTTTTGTCAGTTTTCCCCGAGGTTTGGTTTTGATAAATTTCTACAGCTGCATCATCAAATTAGTATAATGCTCTCTATTGATGGTGTCGGGCTTTTGAACATAGTCAATAAACACAATACCTTTTGAATCATAAAAAAAACTGATGCTATCACCTTCCTTGTATTTGAAACGACATTAACCTTCTTTAGAGCAGATAAGGAGAGGTATTTCCACTGAATAGATTATCTCTTTGTCTCTGGCTCAAAGTGATGAACCCAACAGTAATCCTGGATTAGCAAACGTTCAAGGAAACCAGCTGGATCTGCCACAAACAATGTCAGAATTCCCCTTGATGTAGTCAGCCATAAGGGTTTTTTGATTGTGTGTTTAAAGATGTTACAACGACCGATCAGAAAACTTCGTCATACCAAGTTAATTTTGTAGAACATTCTCAACTTTCTCACAGGATCTGCTAATAACATTGGCTATTTGATTTGTTGTCAATCGCCTGTCATCCATGTGTCGAACACGATCAATATTTTCCTCGGTGGTGGCACTTGTAACGCATCCAGATTTGGGGTCTTCAAGACTATCTAAATTCAGCTGCCCACTTTTGCAGTGTTGATAAAGATGGAGTATCATTCCCTAATGTACCAAGCATGAATGCCCTTGAGGGCTAAAACCTTTTCCACTGCATGGATTCTTTCTTTGTCTCTGGACCAACTGAACACAAAACTGAATTTGATTCAAACAATGACAAATGTGATCAACCTAGTGCGCCTTTGATCAGATGTCAGGAGACATGTTGTACCCACCGCTCAGAGACCTTCGTCATGCCAAGATCATTTTGCAAAATGTTCTCAACCCCCTCTCTCTCTCTCTCTGTGTGTGTGTGTGTGTGTGTGTGTGTGTGTGTGTGTGTGTGTGTGTGTGTGTGTGTGTGTGTGTGTATGCTAATAGTACTGGTTCTTTGATTTATAGCCTGTCATCCATCAACATGTGGCGAACACGATCAATGTTTTCCCCGATGGTGACAGCTGCACGACGTCTCGACCTTGGGTCGTCTTTAAGTCTCTGCTTTCCCCTCCTAAACTCAGCTACCCCCTTTTGCACTGTTGATAAAGCTGGAACATTATTCCCTAATGTAGCAAAAATCTCATCATGAATGTTCTTTGGAGCCAAACACTTTGTCTGCAGGCATTTCATAAAACCACGATGCCAAATTTTCCATTTTCAAGAGAAGTTGCTATGAATTACTTGTGAAAACTCTTTGGATAGCCAGATATCAGTCTACATAGAAAAAAAAAACAATGTATTTATTAATAAGAGTTGAAATTAATGCATGTAAGAGTTCACACCCCTCCTTCATAGTCAGTCTGTTAACCTTTCAGTCCACACTCGTACATTGCATCGGATCTAAATATTTGTGGCAAATTATGGAATGTAGGTATCTTAGGATCGTATTCTATCAGTCGTGGCCATGTTTTTTCTCCATTTTTCTCTAAGTATAAGTCTGTTTTAATTAAATGTTTGAATTCCTATATCCTTATTGGTTTTACGTACTTCAATATTTTTATCGTTTAATAGAGATCCCATTTTCTCATTGTAAACATTGGCATCCTTTGTCACAACACCACCACATTTATCGGCAGAGGTGATGTATAGATGCTTGTTTTTAGATAGCGGTTTCAGTGCATTCAATAAGGAATGTCAAAAATATGTTTTAGAGAAACTCTTGTAAATATGACGTGAATTGAAGGCCGATAAACTTATTTACGTTGTTATTTCTAATGCAAGCTGTCAGTTTGTATAAAATTCATTCTCGTGAAGAAAAAATAGTTTAAGCGGTTCAAGCGATGAATACTGAAAGAATCTGTAATGCACAGAATATCTGCTTATGTTCCGAGAGAATTTCTTAACAAGATTTACGCAATATCTTTTTTGTCTAGAATAAGGATTCTTTTCCTGTAATTGTAGATAGTCAAAAATATTTTCCACAGAAGCACATCTTTAAAGTTTCTGTATAGTAGTAAAAATTCTCCATTAAAATCATCTATTTATAACTTTATAAATATTACTTTGAATTGGATTACAAAACTTCTACAAATAAATTATGGTAGCAGTAAATATTGTCACTGGTATTTCCCTTAAAAATTATAGCATTCATTTTTATCTGTCTGGTGTTTTGTGGCACATAAGGCATTTTTTAAGGCATCTTCCACTGGTCGGGGTCATTGGTCTCCATACTAAACATTTTTGCTCTGAGGAAGGTTTGGTTTTCTGTTGATTGGTTGATTTTGTTTAGCGGCATATCAATGCCGAAATCTAAATATTTTGTACGCAGTTTTCATATATTTTTCGAGATAATAATGATTTTGGCGATGCAAAACTTACTAATTAACCCATAGATGAAGGGAGAAGAGGTGGATTCATACTTTTCCCAAGGATATTGGCGAATATGAATATAACGAATCCAACTCTGGCATCCCGTCTACAGTCACTTTCTCACAGACGCGCCGTCGCCTCTCTCTGTCTGTTTTACAAATACTTTCATGGTAATTGCTCCGAGGAGTTGCATTCGCTGGTTCCCAGACTTCATGAGTTCAAGCTCCCTACGAGGCTGGCATCCCGGTACCCTTCCACTCTCTTCGAAACTCCTAAATAGCTTCATGTCTCTTCACCGCACCTCGCCTGTGGAACTCCTTCCCTATTCCAGTTTCCCTGAGAGCTATAATCTCCAGCTATTCAAGTGTAATGTCAATCGACATCTCCAGTTGCCTTGATCTATCCACTACACTTCTCCTCATACCCACTTCTATCACTTCTATCTGATCTCGCTCTATATTTTCTGTAACCCCTTGCGTCCCAGTGGCTTCCCGCCTTGCTTGGGGTGAAATGCTTAAAAAAAAAACTAGAATTTGAACTCGGCTCTCCGATTAATAATTCCGAGCCACCATCCGCATATCAAAGCTTACAGCACTTGGCATTCCTAAGCGATCTCCCATCTCGGTACAGACCAGGCTCAACGTTGCTTAACTACGTGGATCGTACGGGAACAGGTGTTTCAATGTGATTTCAGTGCACAGCTAATGAAATAAACAATTACTTTTAACATTTGGGTCACTGTGTCGTACCAGAATTTTTTTCGTCAGAATCCATCTTGCACATTTACAAATCTACCATTCGTGCATTGAATACTGCTTCCATATCTGGGGCTGCTGCTAGTCCCCTCGAGGTCCTTGACAAAATCCAAAGAAAGATCTGTAATGTAAGCGATCCTGACTTGGCATCTCGGACATCGGTCACTTTCTCACCGACTTGGCATGCTTTCTGTCTTTTGTCTTTCGACAAATATTTCCATAGCAACTGCCTTGACGTGCTTTTTCCCATGGCAACCTGACTACATGAATTTAACCATGCTACTAGATTGGCATCTTGGTGCCATCCGTTTATTGTTGAAATGATTAAATGTAACCGCCACTTCTGCTCCAACATTTTCATTTCTCGCACTTTCCGCCTGTGGAAAATCCCTTCTGTTTATTTGCTTTCCTGATAAATACAATCTTCAAAAATTTAAATGCAGTATCAATCGCCATCCTCTGCCTTCTTGAATCCCGTTCATCTTTTGTCTTTCCTCAACCCTCTCTTGCTTGTTGGGACAGGATTAAACAAAAAAAATGTAGTCGAATGATAAAATGGAAAATTCCTGCGTTGAGCGTTTTAACCACCGAATGGACTTCTTCAGAGTAAATAATCTTTTTTTATGGATGGAATTATATATATATGGAGGGGGGAAGGAACAAAATGCAACAATCAGCTGTTACAATTCTAATTCAGAACGCTGAAGATTCTGGGACAATTTAAAATTTTAGGCGTCATATGTCTCTAGATGTACAATGTAACAGATTTCATTCAACGTTTTTGTTTTCGTTTTTATTCGCTATTTTTTTAAATAACTTAAACAATAACAGCAATATTTTTATTTGCATTATTTATTATCGGACTATTTCGACTGTTATTATCAAAAAATTATTCTACGGGACAATGGTCTAGTGGATTAAAGCGAATGTTTGCGAATTTGGTGATTCTGTGTTCAATCCTTTGGTTGAGCAGTCTGTACTTGCACACAGTGAAAACAGGTTAGCCTTACCTAAGCTAAATAAGAACTAGACAATATCCTTAGACATGTTTAGATTAAATAAAGGCTTTAGTTCAGAAAACTAGGTTACCCAATTCGATATACACGTTAGGATGTTCGGAAAGTAAAACGGCCGAAACGTTGTGATAATATCAAGGAAAATGAGAATAATAACCCGGATATAAATGATGAAAATAATGCTAACAACTCATCCGAGAAATTCTAACAGAAAAACAATATTTTTGTTTGGAAATGCAATATGCTCCATAATGCTGAATATATCGTAAAAAACTTATAAATTAGTGTACATTCAATATATCTTTACTTTAATAAGTTATTTCTTCTCTCAATTGAAACTACATTCTTTAATTCGAAATTATGACCAGATGTACTACGATGAACGCCTGAAGGATTTGAGTTTGTTGTGTTGTAAAATTACAATTCATTTTATATAAGTTTTATGCATATCTGCTATATTTAATCACCTGTGTTTCGTAGTCTATGGGACGCCGATTTAGATCTGAACTCAAAATCATTGGTCAGTAAACCTGCTGCATTCATCAGTGGCTGTCTCGAAACATTCAAAAAATATTCTTTATTTTCATGACTGAACATATATCTCTATCTATAAAAGGCAGGATGTGTGTGTGTGTGTGTAACGAATGCACGGCCGAAATTTTCGACGGATTTGCACCAAAATTTACATGCACATGCTCCAAGTTAGCGGGAAGGCCAAAACTGCCTTTGCATTTCCCAACTCCCATCGATAGTGGAAATAATCGATTTTTTCATGCTTCTACCTCAGTTTTCATGACATTTGCGGCCATTTTCTAATGGCCAGGGTGAGAGCCGATAGCTGGCTACCACGAATAGGCAGGAAGATTCTATTGGCCAACAACTGACTGACACGAATGTTAACTAGCATGCTAGTATGCAAAAAAATCGATAGCTGCATTCGTCTTAAGTGAGAAAAATTTATATCTGCATGGCACTTTACTCCAATTGGCTCATTCGCTTGCTTAAACTCAACGTTGATTCTGATTCCGCAGAACTGGGTTGGGTGTGAAAAAGTATTTGTTGTTAACATTCTTTTTTCATTCGGTTTTTCCAGTTACGAATCCTTTTTAAAGCTGATCGTTTTGTGTTGATTTTGTTTAGTTCTTTTTTCGTAACAAATTTAATGTTTAGTATAGAGCTTAGAAAAAATTCGCAGTGTGAGATAGGTAAGAAGTAAGGCATGTAGCAACATCAGCACGGCAAAGGGCACTCCTTTAAAGGCAAGGAAGGACATAAATATTTTAAGTCAAGTGATAGCGATTGCTGTATGAGTCGTACGATTTTTGAATCAAGCACGGGCAACGCCGGGCCATGCTGCTAGTTAAATATATTTGAGAAGAAAATCGAAATATACCTGTGACCTTTTGTGAAAGTAAGCTATACAAAGTCATCATGCGTGTGTCAATTACTTATCTAGAAAAAAATTTCGTTTGAGTCTGTGTTAAAGTTGTTACGTAGATAAAATTGCTGGCTAATATGGCGGCTTAGATTTAAAAAAAAATATTACTGCGCGAAAGTTTTATATAAGTATATTCAATCGCGTCTATGTTCAGCGAACCGAATAAAATAAAATTATCTCTACACTTTATGTTTACAATGTAACTCTTGAGAAAAGATACCAAATCTGTTTAAGGACGGATTTAGAACAAGTCTTCCTAGTATTCTTACGAGTTTACTATTGTTATATCTAGACAGACAGTCGTTGTGCCTATTGTCGGATTCGAGATATTCTACACGTTTATAGCAAATGTGTGTCAACACCTTAGTACCTCCAAAAGTATGCTCACTTCCGACTAATTCAGTAAGTTTGATTGATTGATGGATATTTTTTACTGATTATCAACACTTTGCAGCTTCTTTAAAACCAGTTAATATTTCTAGATTCTAATAAGCTTTTGGGGATATTAATGATTTGTACTGATACAAGGTCTATTAATTAACCCATACCTGGGGAGCAAAGAGATAGATTCATACATTTCCCAAGAATATTTGTGTGTAAATTAATATAAGAAACCCAAATGGAATTGGAACTTTCTAATTCCGAGCAGTTATCATTGTCGCCATATTTGTCACAACGTTTCGGCCGTTGTACGCTCCGGCCTTCTTCAGGTGGTTGGAATTTCGAACTGAACCCTTTATTTCGATCGCTGAGGTAGACTGTTCTAATTCCACGTGCCATGTGTCCTCAAGGACACATGGCACAGTGGATAAAGGCGTTGGTTAGATCCAGTGACAGACCCAAAGAAGGTGAGTTCGATTCCTGGTTAAGGCAGTGGAGAACTTTCAGAGGGAAAATTAGCAGGAGATAACTGATAACTGACATCCATCAAACATGGCACGTGGAATTAGAACAGTCTACCCCAGCGATCGAAATAAAGGGTTCAGTTCGAAATTCCAACCACCTGAAGAAGGCCGGAGCGTACAACGGCCGAAACGTTGTGACAAATATGGCGACAAAGATGAGGACAATAGTCCGACTAATGTAAATACTGTACATAATACCTCATCTCAGAAATATAGACAAACTCTGAGCAGTTATCAATTACACCACTCTCACGTCCAAACTTAAAGTTCCTGGTATCTTCCAAGCGATCACCCATCTAGATGTTCTTACCAATGTTGATCGTATGTTGTCTCAGCATAATATGGCCGTAAACTTATTTCAGTAAGTATATCGAAAATAGAGTGCATATTCTCGGTTTAATTCAGAGTTCCGGACACTTTTTGTATGTGGTCATCTCATCGCTCCGGTTTTTGTAGCGGGTATCAGTGAATAATCCCGGAGACACATCCTTAGAAACTGGGCTAATACTTCATTTATTATTGGTTTCCAACGACACATTTTGAGAACCCCCAGTTGATATAGCTCGCTTCCTCTTTCTAAAGAATGAATCAACATCTACTGCAACCATGGAATGAGAAATATTCCATGACACCAGAGAAGTAAAAGCTACAATAGAGAACTGCATAGAATTGTTATAGAAATCTACCAAAATGTAAATCTAAAATAAAGAGGAACAAAGCATCGAAACTAAACGTAATTGTCAAAGAGATACTAACATCCTGAGATGATTTCATAATCGATAAGTTTAGCGAAATGAGAAACAAATATGCAATAGAAGCAAAATACTGTAATATCATAGGAAGTTAATATTTGTAGCGTTATTAAAGAAACAAAATACAATTGATTCGTAAATTTCGCGCAAAAAAATGGGTTTGGTCCATCACATAAAAGTTGATTATTAAAATTCTAAAGAAGGTAAGAGAAGCAAAGGGAAGCAGCGAGGAACATAGTTGACAAGTTTTCGCAAATTGACGAAGGAGGTGTCCTAGAAGCGAAAGGAACTGAGAGTAACAAAGAACAGAAACGTGTGGAGAACCATGATCGCCTATATCCCGAAGGGACATAAGATATAAAGGTGTGAGAGAGAGAGAAAAGAGATCCTCGAGATTATTGTCTCTTTCGATTAATGACTGACTAGGCAGAATATATTCCCGCAGTAGGTTGCCGTTTCTTTCTGCCGTAGACTGATTGCCAATCAAGGTTATAGAATCCATTCTGTCCTGCTATTCAGCCCATACCTCAGGAGGAGAAGAGATGGGTATTTGCGCGTAAGCGAATATAACGAACCTGACTGGAATTCGAACTCGTCGATTTCTCATTCCGACCCAATATCCATTACACTACAACGCACATCCATTGGAGAATTAGGTTTTGATATTTATCTTCTTAGATAGTTGGAATTATTATGGTACGTGTTTACATTATATATCTTTACCTCTGAAAATCTCAGGTGACAAATGTTTTGACAACTAATATACAAGGAATGTATTAGAAAAGCTGATGCTGAAAACAGTCTCATGAATTTATCATA